TGGAATAGAAGCGATTGACCTGTGGAACTGCTGAGGTGTTACAGAAGTACACGTTGCTTTGATAACAGTCTTCGTCTTTTCTGATATTTTAATGTTTGGCGTTTGTCTTCTTCCTCTTGACAATAGCCAATAGATTTTATATAAGGTTCTGGTTTAATGTGTTGTTTGGTCAGTCAAATATAATAATATCATGGTCAGCAAAGCAAAGACCAGTTTTGGTACTGTGGTCATATGCCACGTGCTGCAAGCAAAAGAAATCAGTATTTCAATTAAGTCTACGGAGGAGTAATGGATAACGGCTCGGATTAAGAAATCGGTAGAGCCGAGTTCAAATTCCGGTCGAATCTTCTTCTCCCCCCAGCTATGGGTAACTAGTAGAACAGACCGGCTTCTAGAGCCTTGGATGGCAACTGGTCTACCACAGAAACAAATGGCAACCTACTGAGGGGAAAGAAATCTACCTAGTAAGCCATGTATCGAAAGATACATGATCGCCTAAGCATGTATCACGTATGACACTTAACTGATTGACTGACATTTTTGTCGAATCCATTATATTCACTTACGTGCTAATACCCTTGAGAAAAGGTATGAATTCACGTCTACCCCCCAGCTATGGGTAAATTGTAGGACAGACCGGGTTCTATAGACTTCTATGTAAATTTCTCGCAACATTCAGGCCGGTAAAGGTTGTTAATACTGTTTATTATAAACGTAGCATTTACTTTAATATTTGTATCTATAAAAAGAACATATAAACATAAAAAATGTCTTAAAAAATAATTGTCGGACTTTGTCCATTTCATAATATCAGGTGATCCCATAAGTTCTGTCCGAATTTTAACTTTTTGTTAAAATGAACGAAATTTAAAGAGTATTTTATAATGTCTAATGGAGCTGAACATTATTTTTATGTTTAGATGCATTTAAACTGATCAAATTTTATTTCAGAGAACAATAAAATTAAATTTTGTTTGATTAAAACCCTGCTAACATGGAAGTACCCAAGAATCATTTGAGGCACATAATGCTTTATGAGTTCAAGAAAGGAAACTCAGCAGCCGAAACGGCTAGAAACATTCACTCAGTTTATGGAGAGGAATGTGTGAATGAAAGAACTTGCAGAAGATGGTTTGCAAAATTCAGAGGTGGAGATTTCACCCTTGCAGATGAAGATCGAACCGGATGTCCAGTTGAGTTTATTGAAAAGATTCTTGAAGCAGCCCTTGAAGAAAATCCTGCTTTATCAGTTGAGGAATTGGCAGTGGTTCTCAGTTCAAACCATACAACTGTTCACCATCATCTTTAACAGCTTGGAAAAGTTCCTAAACTTGGAAAATGGGTGCCTCGTGAATTGTCTGAAAACAACCTCAAATCCCGAGTTGACATCTGCTCTTCTCTCCATTCTCGCCAACTTGTTTCACCTCTTTTGGATAGACTTGTGACAAGCGACGAAAATGAATGTTTTATCGAAATGTTAAGCGTCATAAACAGTGGCTTGGTAAAGGGGAAGGACCCCAGCCACAGCCGAGAAGGGAACTTCATGGGCAAAAGGTTCTTCTTTTAATCTGGTGGGATCGCCAAGGAATAATCCACTTTGAATTCTTATCACCTAATGCAACAATTAATGCTCAAATATACTGTCAGCAATTAGAGCGTTTGAACCAAGCTTTGAGGAAAAAAAGACCTGCTCAAGTGAATCGAAAAGCGGTGATGTTTTATCAGGACAATGCGCGACCCCACACAGCAAGAATCACGTCACAAAAGATCGAAGAACTTGGTTGGGAAAAAATTCCACATCCACCTTATTCTCCCGATCTTGCTCCTTCAGACTACCATTTGTTTCATAACACAGAATCATTTGGAAGAAACAGCTTTTGTAACACAGGAAGTGGTTTAAACTGACATTTGTGAGTTCTTCGAATCAAAAGCCAAAAGAATTTTACAGTAATGGAATTAGTAAGCTTGTTAATAGATGGAAGGAAGTCATAGATAATCAGGGAAAAATACATTGTTGATTGAATCTGTAATTAAATGTAACATTTGGTCACTTGTTTTCTTTATTCAAAATTCGGACAGAACTTATGGGATAACCTGATATAAACATATATATAGCATTCTATAGTATACTAAGCTATATATATATAGTATACTATACTATACTATGCTATATATATATATATATATATATATATATATATATATGAATCCCTCGATTAGTGCGGCTAATGTATACATTGTTAGCACTAATTTTGTATATAAAAATTTTATTGCACTAATCGAAAACGCATTGTAGTATTTCTGCTCGCTTTCTTCCTTTTGATTATTGATTGAAAGTGTAATACAGGTGTAATTTAGAGACGCGACAAAGAACGAAAGGAAAAGAGATCAAAATGTTTATGAAACAGTAATAGGCTGTGAATATTAAATTATTCTGTTTCTTACTTTAGAGATTAGACATTGGAAGATGCAATGAAAAAGTAACTGACGTCTACGAAAACTTTCCTCCATTTAAAAGAATATTCTGAATATTATAGCGTCATATTTATCAATTAATTGGTTGGCCATTTGTCTAAAGAGCGCCATCTACACACGTAGGAACGAACAAAACAATGAAGAAGAAGAATATTTTTAAATAACGCTCATTATTTTACTGGATGGTGTTCATAACAAAATGATATTCCTTGCAACATTTTTTATTTTATTTAGACATAAACATAGTTTTATTTTTCGGGAAAACACTCTGCAGGATTTTTTTTAATCATGCCAACAGCATCTCCGACGCACCCCACGTCCCCACCCTTGATCGACAGCCGAAGTTTTATTTATTTTTTTTAAATTTCTTTGGTAAGCATGTGTTTATATTTTATGGAATCCCTTTGCTTATGTCTGTGAGGCTTTTGGGCGCATCGGTTACGTTGTGTCGATGGAAAGAATTAGATATGAATATATATGTATATCTGTTTGATGCTGACCTCTTGGGAAAAATTAAAAGGAAAGAAGAAAGAAAGATAGCATGATATCGTTGAAGAAAGACAGAAAGAGAAAGACAGAAAGAAAGGCAAAAAGAAAGAAAAAAGTATGACTCAAAGAAAGAGAAAAGAACGACAGAAAGAAAGATAGAAAGAAAAGAAAAGAAACACAGAAAGAAAGAAAGAAAGAAAGAAGAAAGACAGAAAGAAAGATAGAAAGAAAGACAAAAAGAAAGACAAAGAAAGACATTGAAAAGCAAAAAGAAAGACAGAAAGAAAAAAGAAAGAAAGAAGAAAAGGAAAGAAAGAAAAAAAAGAAAGACTCAAAAAAGAAAGAAGAATGACAGAAAGAAAGACAGAAAGACAAAAAGAAAGAAAAAGAAAGACAAAGAAAGGCAAAAATAAAGATAGAAAGAAAGGCAGAAAGAAAGAAAAAAGAAAGACTCAAAGAAAGAAAAAAGAACGACAGAAAGAAAGAAAAAAGAACGACAGAAAGAAAAATAGAAAGAAATGAAAAGAAAGAAAGAAAGAAAGACAAAAAGAAACAAAGAAAGACAGAAAGAAACGAAGAAAGAAAGACAAAAAGAAAGATAGAAAGAAAGACAAAAAAATAGAAAGAAAGGAAAAAAGACAGACAGAAAGAAAAACAAAAAGAAAGACAGAAAGAAAGAAAAAAGAACGACAGAAAGAAAAATAGAAAGAAATGAAAAGAAAGAAAGAAAGAAAGACAAAAAGAAACAAAGAAAGACAGAAAGAAACGAAGAAAGAAAGACAAAAAGAAAGATAGAAAGAAAGACAAAAAAATATAGAAAGAAAGGAAAAAAGACAGACAGAAAGAAAACAAAAAGAAAGACAGAAAGAAAGAAAAAAGAACGACAGAAAGAAAAATAGAAAGAAATGAAAAGAAAGAAAGAAAGAAAGACAAAAAGAAACAAAGAAAGACAGAAAGAAACGAAGAAAGAAAGACAAAAAGAAAGATAGAAAGAAAGACAAAAAAATAGAAAGAAAGGAAAAAAGACAGACAGAAAGAAAAACAAAAAGAAAGACAGAAAGAAAAACGAAAAGAAAGACAGAAAGAAAAATAGAAAGAAATGAAAAGAAAGAAAGAAAGAAAGACAAAAAAACAAACAAAAAAGACAGAAAGAAACGAAAGAAAGAAAGACAAAAAAAAGATAGAAAGAAAGACAAAAAAATAGAAAGAAAGGAAAAAAGAAAGACAGAAAGAAAAACGAAAAGAAAGACAGAAAGAAAGAAAAAGAACGACAGAAAAGAAAAAATAACGAAAAGAAATGAAAAAAGAAAGAAAGAAAGACAAAAAAAACAAAAAGAAAGACAAAAAGAAACGAAGAAAGAAAGACAAAAAGAAAGATAGAAAGAAAGACAAAAAAATAGAAAGAAAGGAAAAAAGAAAGACAGAAAGAAAAACGAAAAGAAAGACAGAAAGAAAGAAATAATTTGCTGAGAAAAATGAGAGAAAAAATTATAAGAAATACGGATGAAGAAAAATTTCGATGTAGAAAAGAAAAGTAAAAAAAGATATCAGTAATAATAATAATAATAATAATAATAATAATAACAATAATAATAATAATAGAGATGAGGAAGACGATGAAGCGAAAACAGAAAGGAGTAGATTTTAAATGAGAAGAAATAACGAGAGAAGTAGAAGATGAAGAATAAAGGCTTTTGAAAAGGAGAGACGAAAGAGAAGAAGCTAGAAGAAGAAGAAGAAGAAGAAGAAGAAGAAAAAAAGAAAGAAATTCCTAAGAAGAATTAAACCTTTAGAAACAAAAACAAAAATAAAACATTGGAAAGACATCTTTTTTTACATTTCTTGTTTTCAATATCTGTCCACATCTCTGAAATGAGACATTATTTACTTTATTCGGACTGTTATCCTCATTTTCAATGTCATATTCGCAACGTTTCGGCTGTTTTACGCACCGACCTTCTTCAGATGATTGGAATTTAGGACCTTAATTTTCGTCCTCCGAATTGTTCTAGTTCCACGTGTCATGCCTCTTCCGGATGTCTCAGTTATTTCTCTTTAACTCAAGTTTACAAGTTTGCTTTTTTTTTATAGTTCATATTGAATTCACACTTCTTTGGTTCTAGTCAACGGCTTTATCCACTGGGCCATGTGTCATTGAAGACTGTTGTTTGAGAACTTTGGGGACTTATAAAACTTATGTTTCACTCGCCATTTTTTTTTTCAGTCTTTCGTTCTCACTTTTCTTTTTCGTTTTTTTTTTTTTTTTTGTTCCAATCTTTTCCATTTCTTCTTTCGTCCTGAATTTTTTTTTCTTTCTTTCTACATATTTTACACTTTACTTTTCTTTTTACGCTTTCAGTTTTCGATTCTTTTTACTTCTTTTTATTCATTCTTTCTTTATATACAACATTCTTACTTTTCTTTAATTACTCTCAATTATTTCTTTTTGCCAATTTAGTCTTTTGCCTATCTTTCCTTCTAGCTTCTTTCAATTTCACTATTTCGTTCCTTTCCATCTTTAAATCTTTGACTTCAGAATTTCTCTCTCTCTCTCTCTCTCTCTCTCTTTTTTTTTTGTTGTTGTTGTTGTCTTTTGTTCTGTCTCTTTCTTTCTTTCTCTCTCTCTCTCGGGTTTTCTTCCTTGATGTTTTTTGTTCTGTTTGTTCAATATTTCTTTCTCTCTCTCTCTCTGTCTCTGTCTCTGTCTCTCTCTCTCTCTCTGGCTTTTCTTTCTTTGTTATCTTTCGTTCTGTCTCTTTAATCTTTCTTTCTTGCTCTTCTTCTACCGGGTTTCTTTGTTGTATTTCGTTCTGTCATATGCCTCTTTCTTTCTTCCTTCCTTTTCTTTCTTTCTTTCTTTCTTTCTTTCTTTCTTTCTTTCTTTCTTTCTTTCCCTCTCTATCTCTCTCGGTTTTCTTTCTTTTTTTGTCTTTTGTTCTCTCATTTTCAATCTTTCTTTTTATCCCCTCTCGCTTTCTCTCTCTGTCTCTCTGTCTCTCTCCCTGTTTTCTTCCTTTCTTGTCTTTCGTTCTGTCTCCTTAATCTTTCTTTCTTTCTCTTCTTCTACAGGTTTCCTTTGTTGCCTTTCGTTCTGTCATATGCCTCTTTCTTTCTTTCTTTCCTTCTTTCTTTCTTTCTTTCTTTCTCTCTCTCTCTCTCTCTCTCTCTCTCTCTCGGTTTTCTTTCTTTTTTGTCTTTTGTTCTCTCATTTTCAATCTTTCTTTTTCTCCCCTCTCTCTCTCTCTCTTTCTCTCTCTGTCTCTCTCCCTGTTTTCTTCCTTTCTTGACTTTCGTTCTGTCTCTTTAATCTTTCTTTCTTTCTTTCTTTCTTTCTCTTCTTCTACAGGTTTTCTTTGTTGCCTTTCATTCTATCATATGCCTCTTTCTTTCTTTCTTTCCTCTTTCTTTCTTTCTTTCTTTCTTTCTTTCTTTCTTTCTTTCTCTCTCTCTCTCTCTCTCTCGGTTTTCTTTCTTTTTTGTCTTTTCTTCTCTCATTTTCACTCTTTCTTTTTTTTAATTTATGTCTGATTTTGTTTTTAATCTGAATCACTCCATGCAAGGCAGTAAAATGTCTATGACACGAGGGTTATTAGGTTAGAAGAATTAGGAAAAGTAACAATAATAATGTGCGGGGAAAGCGTAATCAGGAGGACAACAGATAGCGATTGATATTGCATTTAAATTTTTGCAAATAAAGTTGGCTGGAAAGCATGTAACCAGAAGGGAATTCCACAAGTGAGAAGTGCGAGAGAAGAAACGGTTAGCATAGAATTGATGGCTACATCTAGCCAACTCAAGTGTAAATTGATGAGATCTAGATGCCAATCTAGTACTGCACTTAAATTCATGAAGTCTAGGTACCATAGTGAAGGGCTCATTTGAACATTTACCATGAAAGTATTTATAGAAAAGACATAGAGAGGCAACCTTATGGCAGGGGGAAAGTGACTGGAGCTGAGCCACCAGATCAGGACCAATAATATTGCAGATTCTTCTTTAGATCTTATCAAGGAGGTCAAAGTAAATAGCAGCGGCACCGGACCAGATGTGTCAGCAATATTCTAACCATGATCAAATGGTAGACTTGTAGATATGTAAAATAGATTCTGGAGAAAAAAATTGTCTTGCCTGACATAATGAACCAACTTTCTTTGCAACTGACCTAGCAATGGATTCAATATAGTCTTTCCGTTTCATATCAGCTGAGAACGTTTGCCTGAGAAGGTGCAACGAGGAAAAAGGATAGCATCAGCCATGCTGATCGAAGGCGAAGAAGGGGTCTCTCAAATGAATAATGGGGAGCAGTTTAGTTTTGGAGACGTTAAAAGTAACAAGCCATCTTTTGCCTCGCACTTGAGGTTCCTTTCTTCTTCTTCTTCTTCTTCTTCTTCTTCTTCTTCTTCTTCTTCTTCTTCTTTAAACCTGTCCCTTTTCCTTTTTCAAGGTTCAGGTTTTTCTCTTCCCTTTTCTTTTTCTTTCACTCTAGTCTTCCTCAGTTTGTCTTTCTTTCTTTTCGTTTCTTTTTTTTTCATCATTTGACCCCAAACAAGGCACTAAAGCCACTAAGCCAATAATTAGGATATAAAACATTTAATTGTATTTACACCAATGCAACTGGAAGTTATCGTAAGAAAAATATTAAAACAAATATAGTTTACAAATATATAATTTGAATTTATTGCATATAATTTTAGTGAAAAAAAAATACTAATATTAAATTTGCTGAAATTAATATAATGAATATTATCAATGATAACACTTTTAATCGACATAATAGTCTTTTAAATAATGACGATAGGTATATGAAAGGTACTCTAAAGTCTAATAGGAGATGCTAGGTAGCTAATTTCCCCGACTATCGTAAATGTTGAACCTACATACGGCATATAGGAGGCAGGGGAATTTTAAAAGATATATTTAGTAAAAAAAAAAAAAAAAATGCGTCTTATATACTGTCAAATACGGTATCTATGATAGCAAATAGTCATGACTGGAAGTCGACCAGACGATTAAACAAGAAAATGAATTTTCTGATTATGAGATCGATTGAATCTGCTTCCAAGTTGTAGGGCAGACATACGGTTGTTAAAATATGAAGCCAGGTAAATAAAGTTTTTTTTTTAACTGTCCATAAACGATAAAAACTAAATAGCCGTTCCTAACACATATATGGCTCGAACCAAATAAATAAAAAATTGTTCAGGTGATTAAATTCATTTTTTTTTTTTTTTGTTACATTTGTCGTTAACCATTCAACAGCGTTTCTAAGACATACATTAGATAAGGTAATCGAGAAGCAAGCTCTAAGGAAAGGAATGATTAAACCTACGGTGGGGTGCTGAAAAGCTCTTTCTTCAAATAAGAAGTCTTTCTAAAAATGTTGTTTGTTCACATGGTCAGGTTTTTGTTTTGAAGTGTAGCAGGCCGAAAACTTTTCGGTACACTCTCGTATCTGCGTATTGATAAGCCTGAATGTTATTTTAGCAATACAAAGAATCCTTAGGAACACTATTTACATTATTCGGACTATTGTCCTCATCTTTGTCGCCATATTTATCACAACGTTTCGGCCGTTGTACGCTCCGACCTTCTTCAGGTGGTTAGAATGTCGAATTGAACCCTTTATTTCGCTCACTGGGGTAGAGTGTTCTAGTTCCATGTGCCATGTTTGATGGATGTCAGTTATCAGTTATCTCCTGTTAATTTCCCTCTCCAAATTCTCCACTGCCTTAACCGGGTATTGAACTCACACTCTTTCGATCCTCAAGAACACATGGCACAGTGGATAAAGGCTTTGGTTAGATCCAGTGACAGGACCCAAAGAGTCTGTGTTCAATACCTGGTTAAGACAGTGGAGAACTTGGAGAGGGAAATTAACAGGAAATAACTGATGAATAACATCCAATAGACATGGCCGACCAAGCATAGAAATGAATACAATATGGGAACCAGTAATAAGAAGTGCCAGAGAAAAGCGATAATAACAACAAAAATTGCAATATGAGCACTGGAAAAAAACGGTTGCTGAAGACATTAGGTTTATAATACCCAGAAATTCATACACATGTTCTCAAGGACACATGGCAGAGTGGATAAAGGCGTTGGTTAGATCCAGTGAGCGGACCCAAAGATTGTGTGTTAAGGCAGTGGAAAACTTGGAGAGGGGAATTAACAGGAGACAACTGATAACTGACATCCATCAAACATGGCATGTGGAACTAGAACAGTTCTGTTTTTTTCAATTCAGATTCAATACGTGACACACATGCCTGTAGTGTTCTTTTCCTACTTTATCCTTCATTTGTGTATACTGTATTCTATGTCTGAGGTACTTATAGGCATCTTGTTGTTCTCGTTCCCTAAACTTTGTGACAAAATCTAAATCTATTGAGGGTGTTTCTGTAATTCTCCCTTTCTTGAATGTTGCTTTTGTACATACTTTTCAATTCATTGTCGTCATTGGCAAAGAGTTTGAGATGATCCATTTAGATTAAGTACATCTTTGTTTACTTTCTATCCATAGCTATAATTGTTCAGTTCACGCGTAAGGGGGGTTAAGGAGTGACAAAGCAAGACGGGTGGCAGGAACTATCCGGGAAAGATTCGTCGTCGGATATTCAGGCAGGTGACATTGCCTTTAGGTATAATGTGGTTTTTCACATTCTCATTTTGTGTTCAAGGAAATTTGCTATCACCGAGGAGGCTTTGTACATTTCTAAATCCATAAAGAACTAAAAGTATGGCCCACTATCAAAGGCTTTACGGCAATCTATCCAAGCTGTGTTAAGATTTCTACCTGTTTTCCAGCAATTTCCAGGATTATTTTGTTTATCAGTAGTTGATCTTTGTAACCATATGAACCTCTCTTGCGTCCCTTCTATCCCAGGGAAATCATGTTGTTTTCATCTTGTAGAGATTTATTCATTATTCCTTCTTCTTGCATCCATTCTGCATTGGGGTTATATTCCTTTAAGCTGCCCCAAATATTCTACCAAAATTTCTGCACTTTTTTCAATAGATTTTTTTTTTTTTTTTTAAGCATTGTGCCCCAAGCAAGGCGTGAAGCCACTAGGATGCAGGGGGTTTGGAGCGAGAGCAGATAAGAGTGATAGGAGAAAGGAAGAGGAGAGGGATAGTGGATAGATCAAGGTAATTGGAGATGTCGATTGACATTACATTTGAATAGTTGGAGATTATAGCTTTCAGGGAAACAGTAATTGGGGACGGTGTTCCACTGGCGAGAGGTGCAGTATGAAGCTATTGGAGTAGAAGAGACGGCTACATTTGAAGGTTTCTACAGTGTAAGGGTGAGCGGGATGCCAGCCTCGTGGGCGCTTGAATTCATGGAGTCTGGGAACCAGAGAGCAGCTCATCAGAGCAGTTACCATGGAAGTATTTGTAGAAAAGACAGACAGAGAGGCGACGGCGCGTCTGTGAAGAGTGACTGCAAGCAAGACGCTAGATCAGGGCCAATTAGATTACATATCCTTCTCTGGATCTTGTCGAGAACTCCGAGGTAAGCGGAAGGTGCTCCAGCCCATATATGGCAGCAATACTCCATACAAGGGCGAATGGTTGTTTTATATTTGAAGTATCGATTCAGGGAGAAAAATTTCCTGGCGCGGCACAGAGATCCAACTTTCCTCGCGGTGGAAGAAGCAATTGACTCAATGTATTTGTTCCATCTCAGGTCAGCAGTCAGCGTGAGACCGAGCAGACGCAGGGAGTTGCTTTCAGGAAGTTGACTATCAGACATTTTAATGGGGGGCAGGGAAGGGTCTCTATGGTGGTTAATGGAGAGTAATTTAGTTTTAGTGGCGTTAAAGTTGACCAGCCAATTCTTGCCCCAGTTAACAACCGATTGGAGGTCCATTTCAAGACGCACGGCCAGGTTAGTTTTGTCACCGACACTAGACTTGTTTTTGAGGCAGGAGTAAATTGTAGTGTCGTCTGCATAGATGCCGACCTGGGAATCTATAGCTTCAGGAAGGTCGTTGATGAAAATGAGGAAAAGAGTGGGGCCAAGGATGGAGCCTTGGTGGCTTTTTGCCATGTAGAACTGCTTTACCAATATATCTGTAAAATTTCTTAAGGCTCGCTTGGAATATTTTATTTTGGCGATAGGACCAGCAACTCTTTTCTTATCGTTTTGTTCTCTGTGTCTTTACCTGTAGTTTCTGTTTTAGTATTTCCTTGATTAGTGGAATCTCATTTAGCAATTTAATTTCCGTTTGATCTACCTGGATTTCCGTGTGAGACATATGGGTTTCCTGAGACCTCATTCAGTACCGATAACTCACATCTGATTTCCTTCAGTTTTGCCTTCTAAGCTGGCTCTTTTTGACTGTTGTTTGATCTTTTCATTGTCTTGACACCTAACTTCCCGGTAGCTGCTAAATCTGTTGCGTATATATGACATCATTTATTTCTGTGATCTTTCCCAGTGTTTTTGTTTTTGTTTTTTGTTTTTTGCATTAACAGTTTTCAGTGTAGCATTGTCTATTTGCACAATGTGTACGAAATATCACTAGATTTGTGACACTATTTAGGGTTGCGTAAAAAAAAAAGAAAAAAAGGCGAGAATTAAAATTAGGTGATAAGAATCTATCACGAAAAGACGATGTTATTTTTTTCTAACAAGGAAAAGTGATAAAGATTTTATTTTCATTAGCGAAGAAAGTAAGGTCGTGGATCTGTCGCGTTTGATTTATGACGGCGCACCAAATGGTGAAAGTTTCAGGTCGGTCAAGTGGCCTACGAAACAGAAACTGAGAGATAAGAATTAATTGGGTCTCGAAAAACAAAAATGTCCGTTGGACCAACCGCAGAGTTACAAAGAATGAAAAGACTGACCCATTAGCTATCTACGGAGATGTCGTTTGGAAAAGGCACCTGTTTTGTGTCAGGAGCTGGCTATGATAAGAAATTATTTTATCGAAACGAATAATTGGCTGTAGCGCAATACGTCCAATTAAAAAATCACCCACTTGACGCTGGCGAAAATCTGATTGACGAACCCCAGGTGACATTCGGATAAAATTGAGATTAAGTGACCACACTATGAGTCTAAGGATTTGTTGTCGAGAAGAAGAAGAAAGAGAAAGAAAAGAAAAAGAAAAAAAGGAAGATAATTTTTTTTCTTTGAGCAAGATTTTTTAAACCAAGGCTAGTCTAGCCACACCCACGCCGCTGAGCGCTCATTGGCTGAATGGTGGCGTGAGCGGTAGGCGAAGGTAATCATGTGAAGAAGGAGGGGAGGCCTGTTGACGCCCCCTGAAGGGATCAGTGTGAGATGCCACTGTGAGAGAGAGGGGAAACCCGTTGACACCCTCTGAGGGTATGAGTAAGATACCAATATGAGAAAGGAAGAATTTGGGAGGACGAAAGACTTCCAAAAATGGAAATTAATAATTCTTCTTGACCGAGAACAAAGAAAAACCCTTA